GAAATGACCACACTGATAAAGAATCTTATGAATTGACTCCTAATTGCTGGCGAGTAATTTTTGATAACTGAAGTAGTTTTGAAGATAATTGAAGCTGAATCGACGATGACATCAACGATACAAATGTGGATCAATGAAACACGGATCGTTGGTAATGCATCGATTGAGAATCTCGACTTCAAGTTGATCGAAACGAGGATTCGAGATGTCGATCAGTCGTCTTTCGCCGATTTGGGTCTTTTCGGTGCTGAATTTCTCGAACAACTCCTCACAGAGATTCTTCAAATCGGTATTGTTATACCGACAATGAAAGGAGTTGTACTAAAGAGTCCAAAGTAATTGATTTCACGTTACTCATTCACTTTCCTCTGATTGAATTCACAATTTGTGCTCATCATATGTACATGACCGCAGGTATTTCATTGTTTAAAAGCACTGAGGAAACGCGAAACTCACTCACGTGGAGAAATTTTAACTATCGGATTCTCGGGATTCGATCAACCAAAATGTCGAATCAATGATTGAAGTTTTCAAAGTCGTACTTGACCATAAATTGGTTTTTATCTTGAAATGGATGTTCATAAGTTAACAGAAACGTACTGTATATGTTCATTAAAGTCTTCGAAATTTGCAGATTGACATTACATAATCGTTATTTACGTGTACAAACATTCTTCAAATTGGATGAGCATTTCGCTGGACGAATCATCGAAGGAGCTCTGCTTAAGACTTTGTCCAATGTTGGATGATCAATTGCATGTTCAGCCATCATAAAGTGGTGAATCAATCAGCACGCAACAAGTGGTCATCACTGAATCCTTGCAAGTGTGATTCGCAATGTGATCACTGCGATACTGTGATAAGCTAGTCTGAATCAGACCCATTCGTTAAGTTTTGTAATGTACATATAATGAACTATCAAACTGTTTCAGATGTTACTTAGTTCATATCGATGTTAAGATTACTCTTAACGTTACGATCACTCTTAATTCGGAAACGTGTCTTTACTGTTTCGTTCGAGTTCGATGTTCGTGATCAGTTTTGATGCATGTTTCACAGAAATGCGCTTTAATCGCTTGTTGATGGTATTGTATTTTTTCTCTGTGTTTGTAAATATTCGTTGGAGTAGTCTCGTTATGACAATGTCACTTTTGATTGTTATTTCATTGTTAAGTGCTCAATTAAACAGCGCCTAAAATGCAAATTTCTCCCTCTAATTTTCAAATTTACCCGAAGTATTACTTCGGGTAAATTCACAAGCTCATCTAGTGACACATTGGTGGGGTCGTGTAAATTACCGAAGCGATTGCTCACTCAAAACGTTAAGTGTATAAAATTTGAATGAACAGATGGATGAACGACTGACTCAGAGGTAGAGCCCCAAACGGTAATTGGTACGTCGCGGGTTCGATTCCCGTTCGCGGAGGAAAGTTTCGCTTGAAACCGAGTGGTGTACCAATATCATTAGATGGATGGACGATTAATTAACACTACAATCATCTGCTGTTATCAAGTTTTGTCTTTCATAAAACAAAACGTCGATAGATCCTGTTGAATTATGACATATGTATTTAATAATAAATGTACATGACTTTTGGTGCATTCATATTCGGAGAAATAAATTGTTCATACAACTCATGTGGCATTCTTTCTTGCTGAACTTCTTCAAACTCACTCATATCGGCACTCATCACCATTAAAATGGCATTTTCGCCTGAGTTTAGGCATTTTATCTGATGTTGCTGATCAACTCAGGACTATCGTGAGAGTAAGAGCCAAATTTTAAGATCATTCAATGAAACTATTATTAATAGATTCGGATCGATGAGATTATTAAAACTCAATGGGTATCATGCAATGTCATATGTATTTGTACTGCTAAAATGAAGTTATAGTAGTGACATACAGAAATAATCACAGTATCGAAAATTGTAACCCTGGTGACAAGGCTTACTGTAAGGTTTACACTTACAATTAGACATACATCTTGTTCTGGTTTGGAATGGGATTAGAGTTGCACACAAATAAGTTTGCCCCACTTAACGCGATTACATGCAAATGCCGGTGCACACTAATGAATGCCATTTTGAATGTTGCTGTGCTGTGAGAGCGAGCGTTCGCGTCCCGAGCTGATCTCAGCGACGCCGCAAAATTTGAAATTTCAATTGGTGAGCGGAGAAATTTTGCGATTATACATAACTATCGCTGATAAATTTCCGTAAACATTTTTTTAAAATTGCGTTTTTCATCGGAACTGACTGAGAGGTTCAGCTGTTTCAAAGGTTTCTAAATTTTTGTCGCTCTTTGTTCGTTTCATCGTAAAAAATCGTGCATTATTTGACTCGTATCACCAATGTTTTTTTGAATAATTGTTTTGCTTTCCATCTGAATTCCTCATCGGTCGGAGCGGATGTTTTCATGATTATCTCGATTCATTCGAACGCCAGCTATTTTTATTCGCACATTTAGTTATTTGGTGTTTTATCGGTTATATGGCTTCGCAATAGCTTTTTTGAAGTATTAATTCCAGTTCGTAGAAGGTGCTCCATATTCACGGAATAATTGTACAAATCAAAGCATCACGATCAGTTAACGATGCTCAGTAGTGAGCTTTCGAGGGCGATTCTTGCGCAGCATGCTGAGAATCGTAGTTATATTCAAGAGCTGAATGAAGGGCGTGAATCGGGTTCGTTATCTATCTTCTTCTTTTTTTTAAATCCAAAAACTTGAGTCTGTTAAGCATTGAAGTCTCAAGAAAAACCTGTTGCAAGTTTATGCCATCTTAATGTCACAAATTTCCTGGTTTGACCTCTGATGGTATTAGAGAAGAACACCGTGTATGATCTCACGCTCATAAGAATTCGATGTTGACTGCATATGTACATCAATTCCAGTCACTTTTTTTCATATTTTGTGAATTTTAGATATTTTGAAGCTGATAGATTTGCTGGATCAAACGCGACAGCGTTGGGATGATGCGAAGAAAGACGCAGACTCACTTCGGAATCAAGTGAATTCAGCGGAAGAGGAAAATGAGTTCGTCCATTGCTTTATTTGTCAACAATTATTCTCTTTTTTGTTCGAAAGGCTGTACTAGCGCAAAGATCGTGTGTAATTAACNNNGAAGGTGTAAAAGAAGTGAGCAGAAATGAATTTGCAGTAAACTTCGACGTGAGATTCATGGCTTAAAAGCGGAACTGAGAGATGCACGTGCTCAGATGGCATCGCTGATGTCTGAGAAACAAGCCTATGAGATAGATTTGGCCGAATGGGAGCAAAAGTTTGAGCTCGTTCGCGAGTTGCTCAAGGTTTTTCTCGTTTTGTTTGTTTCGCCATACCACAATCTTATTCCATCGTTCATTGCTACGTAAAGTGTACTGCATACATGGCTTTCATTATTATTTCCATTGTACTAGCCTACCTCGTATGACTGTTCAGGATGAAATAACGAATCTGAATGATGAAGATCAACGAAAATTGGCGTTCTTGAGACAGAACAGTCCTCCTGTTCGTGGCACTAAAGGTCCGGGATCACGCCATCGACATAAGCAGCGTACGCGTTTGAATGGAAGTCGATCGGGTGGCACGGATTTATCGCAGGATGACGATATTGATTATGATAAGACGGGAGATTCAATGGAAGTGTCTTACGATGAATCTGAGGAAGATGCATACCTCAGAAATGGAAAAGTTTATAGAAGGTTCTGCGTTCATTACTTGTTTTTCGCCAGTTTCATGTCTACTGCAGCAGCAGTAATCATGTCGAAAAGCCTTTTCGAAAATGAAAGTTGTT